TCCCCTCCCCCTCCCCCTCCCAAAAAAAAATATTATATTTTAAATGGAATTTTCAAATTGAACTTGGATTCGGATCACTCAAAATTTGATAATTGATATGCTTATTTATAGCATGTTTATGGAATGATTTGTCAAAATAATCTTCTCCGTGAAAATTTTAATACTAGAATTTTCTATAAAATAACTGTCATATAACTTTTCTTAATTAGTTTTACCTTTTCAAGTGTAATTTATGTGTGAAAAACGTTTAAAGCAGCAAAACAAAAAATTATAATAAAAAATTACTTTATAAAGAACGTAAATGACAAAACACTCATATTTCTAAGATACATCAAATTTTAATAATTGTTCTTTGATTGTTCCCTTTACTTGATTATTGTCCCCACTGAAAATGGACCCCGGCTCCGTCCCTGATTCCATTTGAATTGAAGCACTATATCGGTGAAGAAAAACGACATAGAATATATTAGAGAATATCTTATTTCATCGTCTTTTTATCTATAATAGCGTTATATATACACACATAAATATTCTAGTGAGATTTGGTGAGATGTAATGGAATGTAGTTTGGACAGAGCTTTCAGATATGGTTTTCAAGGTCTTCGTGCGGGTTATCGTTGAAGCCTCCCTCAATTTTAGCGTGGATTAGCGTAAACAGCTGGACTCCAACCCATTACGCCACGTCATCACCCCCTCCCTCTCTTCTTTTAAGCCAATCCCACCCCCACCCTCTCTCCCTCATTGGAAGGTAACATCTCTCATTCTCTCTCTCATTCTCTCTCTCTCTCTCTCTCTCACACACACACACACACTCACAAGCGAACATATTCAGCAAATGGAGGGCCTTATACCATTTGTGTACAAAGCCATAGTCCAATACAAGAATGGTGGACAAGGCCCAATAGGGTCATGGGTCAATGAATCACCTTCTGCTTCCTACATGAGACTTCCGGGAGATTCAGGACGCTTCCGAACGTCGGATATACAATTTTTCCGATCGGATTATGGCTTCTCCACCTCTTCACCACCATCCTCCGTCACGAAAAGAATTGTATCCACCGGAGCTCAATCACCGGGGTGCCATTTTACTTCTCGTCCTGTTGTTGCATAATCATCATGAAACGATGATACCAAAACTACTCCTTGCCCAAGGAAAGCCGAAGGCATGTATTATAATCATCAAAGTTTGTCAAATACGGTAAGTGTAAGCAGTGAACTTGTGTGTTAATGATCTTTATTTTGTTTGTTTTTTAATGGTTGTTGGTGTGATGAGTGTGTGGATAACCAAAGGGACCACAGACTTACTGTGTTGTTAATCTGAAATTTCAAAATCGACAGCAATGGATGATAGGTTAAGAAAAATGTATGTATTGATGGTCAAAAGGGCCATACCTAATTATAATAAATAGTATCGATCTGCTACGTTTTTTAGTGTTTTTTTTTTATTATTTTTTATTACAACATGTCCATGTCCAGTCTTGTTCCGACTATTTTTTTTTTTTTTTTTTTGTGCTTTGAAGAGGAGTTGGGCCTCCTTGAAAATAGAAAGAATCTCACTTTATAACTTAAAAAAATTTAAGGGTTAATAGCATTTTTAGTTTCTAAAATATGTTTATTTTGTTAGTTGGGTCCTCATTATGAAGTTTATCAATTTGGTCTGTGTCACTTTGATCCTTAATTAGATAATTAATTAATTTTTTTCTGAAAATAACTACGTGTCATTCTTTAGACAGTTTCACATGTTCATCACGTAATTATTCTGTCAAAAATTTAAAGGTCTATCTATGTAAAAATCATTTAAACACGAATTAAATACTTTAAGAAGTAAATTGATAAAATTTTTATTTTAAAGACTAAATTGACAAAACGTGCATACTTTAAGAATCAAAAGTGTTATTTGCCCAAAATTTAATTTTTTATTTAATATACTCAAAAATTAAATTTCTACTTTGTACCCTCAATGTATTAAAAATGCAACAGTGTAACCCTTTTATTAATTTTTTTTTTATTCTGTCAAAAATCATCTCATTGATGTTAATGAAATGAGTAATAGAAGCTAACGAAAAGACTGCATTGCAGCATTTTTAATATATTGAGAACATAATGTAAAAAATTTAATCTTTAAGGGTACAAAATAAAAACTCTTAAATTTTTTAGGGTACAAAGTACAATTCATCCTTCAAAATATGTAAGATTGAAAAGCAGAGAGAGAGAGAGGGAGAGAGAGCAAATATACAAACAAAAAGGCTGGGGTTCAAANATACGGTAAGTGTAAGCAGTGAACTTGTGTGTTAATGATCTTTATTTTGTTTGTTTTTTAATGGTTGTTGGTGTGATGAGTGTGTGGATAACCAAAGGGACCACAGACTTACTGTGTTGTTAATCTGAAATGTCAAAATCGACAGCAATGGATGATAGGTTAAGAAAAATGTATGTATTGATGGTCAAAAGGGCCATACCTAATTATAATAAATAGTATCGATCTGCTACGTTTTTTAGTGTTTTTTTTTATTATTTTTTATTAAAACATGTCCATGTCCAGTCTTGTTCCGACTTTTTGTTTTTTTTTTTTTTTGTGCTTTGAAGAGGAGTTGGGCCTCCTTGAAAATAGAAAGAATCTCACTTTATAACTTAAAAAAATTTAAGGGTTAATAGCATTTTTAGTTTCTAAAATATGTTTATTTTGTTAGTTGGGTCCTCATTATGAAGTTTATCAATTTGGTCTGTGTCACTTTGATCCTTAATTAGATAATTAATTAATTTTTTTTCTGAAAACAAAAATTTAAAGGTCTATCTATGTAAAAATCATTTAAACACGAATTAAATACTTTAAGAAATAAATTGATAAAATTTTTATTTTAAAGACTAAATTGACAAAACGTGCATATTTTAGGAATCAAAAGTGTTATTCGCCCAAAATTTAATTTTTTATTTAATATACTCAAAAATTAAATTTCTACTTTGTACCCTCAATGTATTAAAATGCAACAGTGTAACCCTTTTATTAATTTTTTTTTTATTCTGTCAAAAATCATCTCATTGATGTTAATGAAATGAGTAATAGAAGCTAACGAAAAGACTGCATTGCAGCATTTTTAATATATTGAGAACATAATGTAAAAAATTTAATCTTTAAGGGTACAAAATAAAAACTCTTAAATTTTTTAGGGTACAAAGTACAATTCATCCTTCAAAATATGTAAGATTGAAAAGCAGGCAGAGAGAGAGGGAGAGAGAGCAAATATACAAACAAAAAGGCTGGGGTTCAAACAGCTCTAACAATGTTGAGGCCCTGCCCTGGTAACCCAGCAATGTTGAGTTGAATTGAGATTAAACATAAATTCGGGCGTCTTGCCTTCTAATCTCGATATTTGTACTTTACGTGTGATTGCAGCTATCCAATATTTACTCTACGCAGTTGAATTCAATGTAACCCAATTTAAAGAGGTTCCTTGACGTCATCAACCCAAAAAAAACATAAGAGACGTAAGCCAGACTTGAACACAAGCTGAATTATAAATTTTAAAAATTGAACGAGAACTCGTTGCAATCGTAAAAGAAAAATTTTACGATTGCCAGAAAACAAGTAATATGAGTACAACAATTAGATTTACATGTGAAAGAGAGGGTGTTGTACAATGTCAAGTGGGAGAGGGAAGAAGAGCACAAAGCTATTCAAACGGAGGCCAAGACCCAAAACATCACATGAGAAGATATGGCAATAAAGAACCAAGTAATAAAAGCCAGAGCAATGGATAGCTCGAATCTGCTACATGGGAGAGGCGTTGAACCACTGCAAAAATTCAAGTCTCTTTCGTATAAAACTGCAATCCCCGCAGATGAGCATGCAGCTGCAAGTGATAGAGTAGCCGTCACCTGCAATTCAGACGACTATTAGTATTACGCCAGTTGATAGGGACACATGCCAGGAGGCCAGAAGACGCTCTGCCTACGACTTTCTGATCCCACCGTTAAAGAAGGCATTTTAAATAATTGTATTCATAGAAGAAGATCAAGCATATGGAACATGAAAGCAATCCAGCAGAAATAGTTTGAAGACGAAATTTGTACACTAGTATAGCATAAAAAATATACATTACTAAGCCAGCACCGCAAATATCAGAAACAACAGCTAAACGAGGGGGTGGGGGGAGGAGAAAGAAAGCAAGCAAAACTGCAAAAGAAACAATAAGATGTATTTGTAGCAAAGAATATGGTCCTGATTTCCACAGCACCACAAGAACCCAAGATTAAACCCACCAATGGAGTAGACCACTAACCTATTCCCCCCCTCCCCCCCCCCAAAAAAAAAAATCCAGACAGGAAACTTATAGCAAAGTCCTAAAAACCAATAACAACCAGAGGACCACTTCTACCTGCACTTGTATTGGAGTCCATGGCACAATGGAATGTCTGCCTCTAAACCAAAGGTGCAGTACATGCGAACACCAGAATATTAAAGCTAAAAACCAATTATAAAAGGGCAAATTATAAATTACCCCGTGGTTTGAACTTTTTTTACATTAACTACCTATTGTTTTAAAACCTACGGATAACCCCTTATCGTTTTAGACCTTGCAACGTTATGTTCTCCATCCCACTTGATGGGGAGTAGCGTACGCGCAATTAATTGAACGTGGTCAGGTGAGAAAAGTTTCATTTCAAAAAGAAACATGTCAATACCCGAAATACCCCTTTATACACAACAAAAACCTACTTGTTCCATTTCATTCACCTACTTCATCTATTGCTTCACACTGGGAAGGGATAAAGCAAGGCTTGACTCGCTTGAGGGTTGTGGGTTGATACAGTATGCAAACTTTTTCTTTTAAACAATAATTATTTTTATTTTATATTATATATTATATATGTCATTTTATTATTTTAAATAATACTGATTTTATATTGTTTTTCTATCCATTTATTTAGTTCTTCCACAAACACAGCAGACTCAACTCAATCCACATTATCATGATGGTAGCTCCGATCTCAGAACTTCATATACAAAACAAAAGTCAAGAGAAGATGTAGAAGTCTTGTTAAATGGAAATAGTTCCAGTATGCTTATATCAAAGTGAGCACAAAGATTGAAAACTTCTCAAGTCCATAACATTAATTCTCATAAATAATTCAAATTTCTCATTCAAACAGCAAAGCAAATCAAAAATACATACGATAGGCATAAAAATCTACTAAAATCTCGAATAAAACATAAAATCAAACCAAAAGTTCAGATGGTATGCACGTATATTGGAGTGTATAGACACTTTTACATAATTCTATTTTATAGAGCAATCAAATTTGACAATTAAACAAAGCCCAAGTTCAGACGTAGTCACCATGATTAACCTTGTAGAGAGAGAGAGAGAGAGAGAGAGACTTGCAATGAATTTTGATGATCGCAGAAGAGAAGCCCTAGAGTGAGAAAGACGGGGAGACAATCGGAGTTGTGAATCTCTCAGGCAGTGAGTGTAATAAGATAAATTTGTCTTACCATCAATGCAGTCAAGGATTTTCAGCTAGGTCCAAAACGATAGGGGGTTATCTGTAGGTTTTAAAACAATAGGTAGGTAATTTGAAAAAAGGTCAAACCACAAGGAGGTAATTTATAATTTGCCCTAGTGGAAGCATCTGGCTCCCAACAATATTATTAGTCATTGAAGTTGACAAGAGTATGAACAAATGGCAACCGCATAAAGAAATAATGCTGAATAGAACTATATTCGGTGCGCTTTTTCGTCATAGCTGCTCTTTGAAATTGGAAACCAGCCATGGGCAATTGTTGCCACGAGCCCATGGACGACATGAGTATAAAAAATAAGGGAAGAACTACAAATAAAAGACATAGAAAATGACTTTAAAAGGCATATCTATCGTCCATGTGTACAATCATAGTCGATACACATGACTATGTCTATGCAACGATGCATCTTTAAGCCAACAGATGGAGCAGTGAGTTTATGGGATGAGAGCTGTACCCAATCACCCACGACAAATAGGCTGACTAGCACTGGATTTTGGAGGTCTCTCTTTATCCTCAAAGCATAGACATCAAGAAATGCAAGGCCACAGCTCCACAATACTTGAAGCCCCATAGACGCAATTAAGTAGCTGTATTCAAAAGTCATGAATTCTTGTCAAAATTAATGCAAGCACACTCATAATGGACTTATCCAAAACGCAACAAACACTACTCGAATAACTTCAGGTATGACTTGAGTAGCAGAAACCAACATCAATACAAATAAACAACCATATAATCATGCACATAAATACACACGTCAATTCCCTTAATCCCGGCCATAGACACCACATCCACCATAAATTTACACACATTCAAGAGAGAGAAAATTCGTCAAAGGTCCCCTTGAAAAGTTCAGCAAAACAATTGAACGTACAGATATTATGAAAGGTGCACAGACATACTCTGGACGAAAATGAAAGCGTGCTCGATTTCCTGCAACTAGGTTACACTTTTTATGCCAAATGAATGATTCCACGCGATTCTTGAGTCACAGATATCCAGCTACCCCAGCTAATAAGTCTCTATGTAGTCATATCAAAGACCCAAGAATGAAAAAGAAAAAAGGAAGAGGAAACACTACTTATGACTGTACCCAATCTGATGAAGATGCCGGAATAAAATTGTCATTCAAATGGAACTCCTACTATGCTTCAAATAGAAAACTTCCACACACAGGGTTAATTAGGTGGGAGTCATTGTTCCAATTTGAGGCCCATATGATTCTTGTGCCCCCAATAATGCAATATGCTCCAGTTTCAGCTCTCTAAAGGTATGAACAGCAAAAAGCTTTACCTCTACAGGATATGCAGTTTACAAAAAGAAATGACAGTGTCTGGGATCTACCAATCCATGAATTTCACACTATAACATTCTTAGTGCATCTCTTCATATTGATGACTAAATAAATCCAGTTATGCCAAGGATTTAAACAAAAAGAGCAAGACATATAGCCAACAAAGTCCATTACTTCCAAGAAACAGCTACCATACAACAAACATGCAATTTTTGAAGCATTGCGCATATCTTCAAAACTTCCAATATTCCAAACAAACAATAACTGTGGCAATTTTCCACAAACATCTATTTGCTACAAAGGGACCTGTTTGCAATTTAGATGAAAATCCCAATACTTGACTACCTCACAAAGCCTCGTAGTTCACATTCCTTGAACTAATTTAAGATAGATGCATTTAACCTTGATCGATTGAGTAAAAAGACACATGAACTACACAGTCATCAGAGGTCAAACAAAATTGGTATGTCGGTAGCTTCAGTCAGAAAAATCTAGCGTACAAGAAATTCTTACAAACCCCAGAAATCATACACCAGACAAAATAAGCATACCCACGCAAACTTAACCAAATAAGTTCTATGTTCTAAATGTGGATGACAAAATAGAAGACAAAATACCAGATTAAGAACCGCTTTTTCATACCTTTAACAGAACCAAATACATCGNGCATACCCACGCAAACTTAACCAAATAAGTTCTATGTTCTAAATGTGGATGACAAAAAAGAAGACAAAATACCAGATTAAGAACCGCTTTTTCATACCTTTAACAGACCCAAATACATCAAAATTAAGACTAAAGTAAAGTACCAAAAACCCATTTCAGTTACAACAAATAGGAAACTACAAAAAATGAGCATAAAATCAAAGACCAACCAAAAACTAACAACAGCAATAGAAAACAAAAAATACCAGAAAGCAGTGTAGTTAGAGAACCCCACAGCAGAGACCATAACTCCGATTGAAGCAGCTGCAAATAAACACTGCCCAATCCTCAGAATCAGCCCGCTCTTAGTCCCAGGACTCCCTATCAACTCCTTCATATCTTCGCTTTTTCCAAAAATCTCTCTCTTTAGCTTCCTCTTCAACAACCACAGGGCCCTTTTCTCCAATCAAAGGGCCCCAAGAAAAAACTAGGCTTCACAAATCTTACCCATTTTCAAAACCCAGATCAAGACAATACAGAAGAACTTATCTGTCTATTGTTATGGATCTGTGTAATTGAGGAGATTTGATTGAACCCAAAAAAATCAACTGTCCATCCAGTGATCCAGATGAACTATTTAGTTTAGGAACCCTAAAAATCAACTCTTGATGAGTTTATAAATAAGGTTATTCCATTTCTTTAGTAGTAGTATTCAAGGGAAGATCAATTAATTATAGGGAAACTAACTGTAATGGAACTCGTGAAGAAGTTTGGTTGCTTTGCCAGAGACTGACACACCTACTCGGATTTCTTTTTCCTATTTTAAATACTTTTCACTTTTTCAGCACTTTTATGATTAATTACACTTTTCACCCTAACATATACAATAAATCTCACTTTGACCCCAATGTATTAATTTTGCCAATTTTATGCTTTAACTTTTTAATTTGTATTTTCTTTTTTTGTTAGATATTATTATAGAGGAAGAGGGCGAAGAGGTTTGAATCTGCAATCTTAAGGTTCAATAATTATGTAAAAGAAAAGACCCAAGTTAAAATTGGGACGGATCAAAGATTAAAACAAAGAAAGTTGGGACATGGGTTAAAGAGAAATGATGTGTCCACCGAAATTTTTATCAAAATTTTTGATCTCAAAGGATATGTCACATTGATAGTCATTGAATAGTTAATAAGAGTTTATGGGACCTATTGATCATATGATCTATATTAATTTGAAATTCAAAATTTGATAAAAAAAAATTTGGTAAATATAGTATTGTTTCGGATTAAAATTGTGATATACGCCAGCCTTCATCTTTCCAATTTTGGTTCAATTGGAAAACTAAAAGAATTAAGGACTAAAGTGGAAAATGGATTATAGTTTAGGATAAATATAATTATCAAACTAGTAATTTTATGGTTTAACTTTTTTTTGTCCAACACTATTACGAAGGAAAGAAATGATGAAATTTGAATCTGCAACATTAAAATTCATCATTTATATAAAAGAAAAGACCCAAGTTAAAGTTGGGACAGCCCAAAAGACCAAAACAAAGAAAGTTGGGACTATTAAACTAGCACACTAGCACTGTTTTTAACAAACATACAAAAGATATTCACATTCAAATAGAAAAAAAAGTTAAAGTTGGGGATAATGTTCGGATTTCCTAATATCTCTAACATGAATCCTTAAGTTTGAAATTAGGGGAAATTATCCAGAATGTAAGGTTTAGGAATGTGCAGATAGGTAATATGCAAATGGACATGAACAGTTTTAATATAGCATATTCCTCGTAACCAAAATATTTTTAGTGAAACAAGAATATTATGTCATTATTGTCACGTTATTTGTCATATTTTTATTAGATATTGATATCACATGACGATAATGACGTGATATCAGCGTTATTACGTCTAATATTTTCTCATCCCGATAACATTGTGTATCTAAATCATATTATGTTCAAAACTCACTTTTTGACCNTTGCCAATTTTATGCTTTAACTTTTTAATTTGTATTTTCTTTTTTTGTTAGATATTATTATAGAGGAAGAGGGCGAAGAGGTTTGAATCTGCAATCTTAAGGTTCAATAATTATGTAAAAGAAAAGACCCAAGTTAAANTTTAACTTTTTAATTTGTATTTTCTTTTTTTGTTAGATATTATTATAGAGGAAGAGGCGAAGAGGTTTGAATCTGCAATCTTAAGGTTCAATAATTATGTAAAAGAAAAGATCCAAGTTAATNTTTGAATCTGCAATCTTAAGGTTCAATAATTATGTAAAAGAAAAGACCCAAGTTAAAATTGGGACGGATCAAAGATTAAAACAAAGAAAGTTGGGACATGGGTTAAAGAGAAATGATGTGTCCACCGAAATTTTTATCAAAATTTTTGATCTCAAAGGATATGTCACATTGATAGTCATTGAATAGTTAATAAGAGTTTATGGGACCTATTGATCATATGATCTATATTAATTTGAAATTCAAAATTTGATAAAAAAAAATTTGGTAAATATAGTATTGTTTCGGATTAAAATTGTGATATACGCCAGCCTTCATCTTTCCAATTTTGGTTCAATTGGAAAACTAAAAGAATTAAGGACTAAAGTGGAAAATGGATTATAGTTTAGGATAAATATAATTATCAAACTAGTAATTTTATGGTTTAACTTTTTTTTGTCCAACACTATTACGAAGGAAAGAAATGATGAAATTTGAATCTGCAACATTAAAATTCATCATTTATATAAAAGAAAAGACCCAAGTTAAAGTTGGGACAGCCCAAAAGACCAAAACAAAGAAAGTTGGGACTATTAAACTAGCACACTAGCACTGTTTTTAACAAACATACAAAAGATATTCACATTCAAATAGAAAAAAAAGTTAAAGTTGGGGATAATGTTCGGATTTCCTAATATCTCTAACATGAATCCTTAAGTTTGAAATTAGGGGAAATTATCCAGAATGTAAGGTTTAGGAATGTGCAGATAGGTAATATGCAAATGGACATGAACAGTTTTAATATAGCATATTCCTCGTAACCAAAATATTTTTAGTGAAACAAGAATATTATGTCATTATTGTCACGTTATTTGTCATATTTTTATTAGATATTGATATCACATGACGATGATGACGTGATATCAACGTTATTACGTCTAATATTTTCTCATCCCGATAACATTGTGTATCTAAATCATATTATGTTCAAAACTCACTTTTTGACCCATAAAAACCCAAATGTCGATGTGTCTTTTGTTTTTTTCTCTTTTAAAATAAAAAAAAAAACAAAAATTTGTTAAGATAATACAGATGACAAGACTTCAATGATCACTATTTTAAGTTTGAGAATTGTAAGGTACATATATATTAATCGGATAAACATTATTGCAAATGATTGCACACTTCAAGAGTTTTAGAAAACAATCAAGAGTCCAAATAACTCGTGATTAAAACATTGTTCTCAATTTATTAAGAAAATTGAACTAAGTATAGTACAATGGACCTGTTTAATGTTTGTTTTCTAGGTGAAATACTGCAACTTAAAAAGTTTCACAAAAAAATCAGGATTAAAAAACTCCCACAAAATTGTTTGGAGGTGCTCTTTAAAAATTGAAAAAGTTAAAAAATACCGTTTGAAGTAACTTTTTTTTGGTTTCTTTGTATCAAAATAAAAAAAAATAATTATATGTATATATAGATTATACATAATAGGTCCTGAAATATGAATTTAAAATTTTTTTTACGTCACTGTTAATATTTTATGNAAAACATTGTTCTCAATTTATTAAGAAAATTGAACTAAGTATAGTACAATGGACCTGTTTAATGTTTGTTTTCTAGGTGAAATACTGCAACTTAAAAAGTTTCACAAAAAAAATCAGGATTAAAAAACTCCCACAAAATTGTTTGGAGGTGCTCTTTAAAAATTGAAAAAGTTAGAAAATACCGTTTGAAGTAACTTTTTTTTGGTTTCTTTGTATCAAAATAAAAAAAATAATTATATGTATATATAGATTATACATAATAGGATAGGTCCTGAAATATGAATTTAAAATTTTTTTTACGTCACTGTTAATATTTTATAAATATAATAAGCTAAAATTTTATGTGGGACCCACAAAAAATTTTAAAAATTTGAAATAAAAACTTAAAATCAATTTCTTGAATCAATCAAAATAAATCCTTTTGGGTTTAAAAAATTACTATATAAGTTGGTAAAAAAATCAAAGTCAAAATAGACCTAACATATTTTATTTCAAAATCCTTAAAAACTACATATTTAAGCCTAATTCTAGATAAGTCCAATGTACAACATGTAGTAAGGCCAGTATACCATAAGACAATTATTTGAGAAAATATTCCTCTAAACAATATTTTGAAAAGAAGTTCATCTAATAGTGAAAAACACCGTTATAACTTTATGTACATTTTTTTTGTGATGAGGATGTTCCACCATTAACAAAAGCNTTGAGAAAATATTCCTCTAAACAATATTTTGAAAAGAAGTTCATCTAATAGTGAAAAGCACCGTTATAACTTTATGTACATTTTTTTGTGATGAGGATGTTCCACCATTAACAAAAGTACTTTACGAGAATCGAGGGAATTGTATTCCTTTCAAAATTTAATCTTTAAAGAGAGCATTCACCCCCCAAATCAAAACGGACATTTAGGAAAAAATTTAAAATTCAAAAAATCATCTCCATCGATTTCATCATCTCGGAAAAGAGAGTTTTGAAGAAACATGTTTATATTTTACAACAGGAAAAGTATGATTTTAAGAACACACGGTAACAAACACGTTGTACACTATTTTATTTGTCACACTGTAACAAATAATGTGCATTTGTTTTTCCTGATTGCTTCACAAACTAAATGATACACTTGACACACTGTGAAAACACAAGTGTGACATAAAAAATAATGAATTGAGTGTATCCAACACTGCTTGTCACATTGTAACAACACATTGGACACTAACGGAAGGCACAATCGTTGATTAGCAATCACTGCTGATTAACATCAAAATATAATATGAAAAAAATTGGTTGTTGACGTTAAATTCTATGCATTTGAAATCAACAACTCATTACATTAATATAAAACATATATACCCAATCTTGATGTTGTTATTCAACAATAAAATCACAAATCCTTTAAGATATTTGTAAAAACAATATTCGTAATAATATTTGGATAAGATTTTCTACATGGAACGATGAAAATTAAAATAATAACAAATGATGATATTATTAACTGATGAAAAAATCGGTGATAACTTAAATAGAAAACCAGACGTTGAATAGGAAAAAAAAATATATGTTTAGAATTTAAATGTCCTCCTCCATTAAAATAGGAATCTCTTGATATAATCAAATCAAATCTCACAAATAAGGTAATTGCCTAAAAAGTCCATGAATTATGAAAAATGATAGTTAGGTAAAGAAAATATTTTAAAAACTATCAAGGTGTATCTAGATACAAGACATTTACAATTAGGAGAACTTATCTACAACAAAGCTTTTACATGGTATTTTGCCACAAATAAATAATTTTTATGATACCTAACCACAATAGTGCAATGGGCATGCTATTATTAAGATTGCGGCCATCAAAATTTGTAAGGTTTTTTTGGTGTGGGTATATTTTTTAGATTTATGTGAAAGAAAGTATATGGATAAGTATTTTATTCTATTAAGTTTAATTTTAATAAAATATCTTATGATTAGATACAAAATTCAAATGACATTTGAATTTTTTTACTTACTTTCTCTTCA